ATGGCTTCATTCATGTCGATGTACTCTGGCTCACTTGGCACACAATGCATGTGTTTGCTACAGATGTTCCGGCAGAAACTGCCCTCGTCACAGTGCTCTTGGATTGGATGCACATGTCATATCCACGTTTTCCGCTTTGCCCTTGACGCGGATATCTTTTGAATGATTTTGGCTCTGTTTGTGTTGGGCCCTGAGTGGCCTCTTGGTGAAGGCCGAAATTGGAGGGATTTCCGTTCCAGGCAACCAACACATTGTACCTGTCTCGCGCTTCGAGGGCAATTCATTGACCTTGGGCCTTGTTCCCATGATCGCAGGGGTGAGAGGTAAACAAGAGCAAGCAATAACTCCGATCCGCATGTCCGGCTGTTTTCTTGGTGGGGGGGGGGGGGGGCCAAATTGAGTGCCTGGCGTTGTGGTGACACGTCGGAAACCATCCAAAAGGAGGGCAATGCTGACGCGAGCCGCACACGTGAGGCGCATGCCTTTGCCCACCTCGCAGCAGAAGTGGGGGCCTTAGGCAGCCTAGTGGCTGCGGGCCGAAGTCGCTGGTTTGTTTCGACCATCCGTGACTCTTTCCCTTGGATGGCAGGAAACAGCGCAACTGTTGTTTGGGAATTACGGTAACTTGTAGGTGTGAAACAAAGAAAACAAGTGTGGGCTTGACGTGATTGGCACCTGCAGAGAGAGAGAGAGAGAGAGGGAGAGAGAGAGAGAGAGAGAGAGAGAGAGAGAGAGAGAGACAGAGAGGGCTGGCATTGAAGCTATCGTGCAAGCACAAACAGGGTTGGCCCAAATCAAAATCCGCGGCCGAGACCACTGGCAGCACCCCTTTTGAAAGGCACGCGCTCACAGGATCCATTTGGTACAAGTTTGATACAAGTATCTATTGGGATGCTAGTTGGATTCCATTTTCAAATGTCCAAAGACTGGCCAGTTGGCCCGGGCGAAAACGGCTGTGACTCTCCTTTCAAAACGGCTGACATGATTTGGCTGCCTAAATGTGATTGCTTCGGCAGTGTTTGGTTTCCTTGATTTCTACCAGAATTACATGTTGTTCTCGGATAAACGGTCAGAGATCATTCTCAAACATGGCAAGTTGAGTTGCGACCTCGAGAGATGTTTGGCGACCTTGCCAGAAGGCTCCTGACTCTGGGCTCCAGGAGCTTGATTTTTTTGCGAAGATGGGTCAAGAAATCCCAGCGCGAGGATGTGGACCGCAGGAACGGGTCCTTTCCATAGGGCAAACCATTTGGGGGCCTGCTAGCCTATTTTTAAGATCCCACTCTCAGGTGAAAGTGGGATCTTGCTCTGCCTTCATGCCTTCAGACGATGCGCCAGTCGGGTGTTGTGAATCGAGGCTGGCGGATGCTCTCCATCAGCTGGGCGTTTTTGACGCAGCGCTGTCGCTCGAACTGCACTCTCGCTCACAGAGAGGCATACTTTGGATGGACAAAATCCATTTCGCACCACCCAAGACACCATGGGAAACCATTGTTTGTTGTTATTTGCAGGGGACATATCATTCTAGGGTTTCTTCGGTGGTACAGGATTTCGTCCATCCACAGTAGGATTGCAGCTAAAAGACCGTAAAAGACCCTCTTGAGAAAAGGGACGCACGAAGTGTCAAAAGTAGGGGCCTTGTTCTTGGTATCCTCTTTAAACGGCGCCACAAGGCAGCACCAGGATCCCAAAAAGGGTCCATATCTTTGACAACACCCCACATCCAGCAGAAAGCATGAAAGAAAGCAGGAAGTCAAGGGACTCGCCCTTGCCAAACACACTGGCTCACAGCAGCCCATAAAAGGCCACCTCCAAGTACTCTTCGCCCTGCCCTGTTGCCGATGATTTGTTTCTACTCACGTCTTTCTTGGTCTGTGTCTCCTTCCCTGCTCTCTTAGCTTTTCCACAACAACCTCATTATGCCCGCTGCATCATCAACAGTGAACCATGGCAATTGGAGGTTGTAGCAGGTGATTTATTAATGCTGAATGAGGACACATCCTGCCACATCACCCTGGTAATTGGAGGTTCGTAACTGGCCCTTCGCAATCACAAGTAGAGCCAGCTGCTATTGCGACTTCTCATGTACACTAGTAGGTGTATTCCATTGAAGTGGTGTATTTGTAACTGCTCAGTTGGTCGAAAGCAATCGCCTAAGATTCAGGCCCCTTGGTTTGGACCGTGTGGATCCCGAACAATTCCGAACATCCCTTGGTGTTGCATAGGCCATGATACGTTCACCCTCAAGGAAATCAGAATATATTATTTCATAAGGCTCCCCTTTTGCCCCCGCCCCCACTCTTTTTGACCCCCTCTCTTTTTCCCCATCCATTTGACCCACTCCCCCTGTCATTTGACCCCCCATTCTTTTTTCAACCCCGCCCCTGCTTTTTCTTGACCTCCCCTCAACGGCCTTTCCACCCCCCATGCATGCTGTTCAGCCCCCGCCCCCGCTTCCTTTCGGTTTTCGGGTGCATGTGCAGGTGTTTCTTCACCACATTTCTTTTTGTGCGCACCTAAGCCACGCTAAACCAACCTAAACAAACCGTAATCCGGCCCCAATCCGAACCTAAACCGACCCTAAGCCAAACCGAACCCCGAAAGCAGCCTTTGACTTTATTCTTAACTATGTCTGGGGTTCCCCCAAATGAACCCCAAACCAACCCTGAACCGAATGCAAACCAACCCGAAACCGACCTTGAACCGACCCGAACCTTGAACCAAGCCCAAACCCTAAACCCACGCTTAAAACCACATTAAACCCACCCTAGTGGACCCCGTTCAAAGGGAAACCTAAGTAAACCCCTTCCAAATGGAAATACCCAATCAGGATTTAACAAAAGTGGAGTCACCTGCTCAAAGCGGTGATTCGCAAAAGCCTCCGTGGCGGTATGTTGCCCAGCCAAGGTATCCCATGAACTCCGTCCGCATCAACGGGTATCGGTTGGCTCCCAAGATGCACCTTTTGCAGAAGTCTCAGGGCCAGTCTCGTTTACGCCGCCAAGCAGAAATATGTTGAGTGGGAGGCTGAAGCATGCGGAAGTATTGAGCTTCGCTGCGCGTGTTTGGAACGGGCCGCGCTGGGCCAGTGAACTTCAGAGTTCAACCCGGATGTGTTCAGCTGCGATTCAGTGAGGGCGGATACAGCCAATGAAGGGGTCCTTGAATTTTCGGGGCCATCAGTGTCAGAATATCGTGCTAGAAGAAAGAGCGAGTTGTGAATGTGTACTTCTGTGTGGTTTTAGGCTAGGTCTTATTGAACCATGAAACTTTTTTGCAGGTGCACATGAGCAGCACCTGGCGCCCAGGGAACTGCCTAGATCAGTCGAGGCCAAATAATGCATCTTGATTCAAGCCAAATGATCATCAAAAAAGCATTTTGCCATTGAGTTTGCAGGAATCCCTCAGGAGCGATTTGATGTTGGAGTATATTTCCTTTATGTGGATCAAAGGGTTGGACTACGTCACAGGAACGTAGGTGTGCTGCACGATATTTCTGGTGATTTTCCTGTGCAACCTAAGACGCGGGGCCGTTCGCGAGGCTGGAAGCAAATCCGTAGCAATTGGAGCCTTACTCATTTGCCTGTTGGCCTGAGACCAATTCTGGGTGCTAAATTGCCCATGACTCATTTCCCCGGAAGCCACATGGGTTTTACATGTACGTAACGTACATATATATATATAATATTGCAGCTAGTTCATTTTGTTCGAGACCCCTTTTTTACACCCAGACTTGTAATTGCGTTTGTAGGTTGGCTAACTGTGCCGCAGCATCACCTCTAGATCTCTGCTGAGGGCCTGGCAATTGAAATGCGAGCGCGTGGTACATTGGTTTTTGCTGTCGGTGCGAAATCCAGAGAGTGGCCGCATGTGGAAATCTCAAGATCCAGTTGCAACAACCCAAAGCCAGTTTAACTTGAGAAGGCATTGCCAAGGCCATGTTGGCCGACGCCTGCTTACAAATGCTCAGTGATTCCCAGGAGGCTCATGAACGTTGGCCACAATCGGGTATGCAGGGATTTCTGTCCACCAACCATTTGGAGAGCATGTCCCAGTAGATTGCATACCAGCAATGGTACCGACGGTTCCCATTACTGTTCTAAAACTGGGTGTCCTGCTAAGTGTTGAGTTTTGTGTTGTTTCCCTTCAACATGCATCAACAAGGGATTCCTAGTTTTGACACGTGCCACTCAAAGGAGGGCAACTGTTTAACACATGGCTGTGGGAAAACAAAAAACCAATGGTGCCATTTTGGGGTAGGTGCACCTCCAATTTTAGTGTATTTTAATGCGAATTGGGATGTTCAGTGGGGGTACGATTTGGATTTTGACCCATGGCCACAGCATTGCAAAGAGCTTTGCCGATGCCTGCCGAGGCCTGGCCAAGGTATCTTCCCCCACTGCGACGGGCCTGTGTACTACCCCAAAGACACACTGGCATGGAGAGGGGTGGCAAGGTTTTTCTGGGACATTGTTTTGCCAGGGTGGTTGTGCATAGTCCCCGGGTTTATTAGCATAATGCAGGCATAGCATCGACTGGGTTCAATATGTGCCGGGTTTAGAGTGATCCGTGTCTTTCAAGGGATGCGTCCCAGAACTCGTGCCCAGTTGCCTTTGTTATGATGAGAGAGGGCAGAACCATTAGCTCGGAGCGTTGCAGTTCAAGTCAGGGTCCAGCGGAATATGTTCCTGTCTTTCCAGGAAGGTGAAACACATCTCACTTATCTTTCTCACCGGAATGAGTTTCGCGTGAAGGTTGGGGGACCCAGACGGAGCCAGAAAGTCCAAAGGCATCAAGATGACAAAGAACTATTTCATGCCGATGCTTCAGAAGTCAATTCTTTTCCCCCTCAGACTTGTCAGCTTTGTCACAAGGGTTGTGTTGCACATAAGGAGCTCTTGTTGACCGTGTTGTTTGGGAAGCCAGAGGCAAACCAAACCCACAAAAAGGAATGGTCTCCAGGCTTGCGAGCCCCCTTCCAGGTTTGGTGGATCCAAGTTATGCGGCATTTGGGCCGGCTGTTGGCGCAAAGCGGGCATCGGGAGATTGGCTGGGATCTGGCGTGGGACCTTATGATGTAGGCTCCTTTGAGCATTGTGGAATATTCGCTGTGAATGCCTCCGAACATGAAATAGGGAACACTTTGATTGCACGCCCCTTTTAAGCTCAAGAAAAAGAATCCTGCAGCTTGTGCAACTGGTGTTTGTGGATTTTGTGCTGTGGGAGTGAGGCCAGCTGTGCCACGCGCGCGCCGAATACATTGCTGCGGGCTGGCGAGCGAGGACAAACATAGACACAGACCAAGGAGCAACACAACTAAAGCAGCACGGCACTGGCAAGGAAGAAGGCTCCATACACACAGGCACAAGCGGAGAGACGTGGTTTGTCAGACCAAACCAGGCACTCTGACGTATTTCATATCTTCAATGTCATGTTTTGACGAGCATTCATGAAACGTTGGTTTTTGCCGCTCTCACTTGCCTACTTGTAGCGTACCTTGAGGCCAGAACTCAGGGACTGAGACTTGAAGTTTGCCCAGCCTAAAGATGCGAATGGGAGCTTGATAGTTGGCGAAGCCTCCCCAAGTTGCATCCATCGCATCCACCTGGCAACACACACACACAGACACACATCCATCCGCTTCAAACCGACGGAGAACCGGGTGGCTCCTAGCCGCCACACGGTTTCGGCTGGATGCATGCGGCGGCTCAACTTCTTCGACCGGCATGTGGTGAAGCAGGACGGAGACAGCGGCGTAGCCGCCTCTGCCTCAACCCAGGGGCTGTTGATTTTCCCAGGGAAGCCCCGTGGTTTTCGTCACTTGCCTTGCAGGATGTGGTTTTTGGCGTCCCAAATATGGAGGTAGTTGTCCTCAAAAACGCACACCCCACACTGTCTACGTGCAATTGCTGTTTGCTGGAAACCTCGGTTGACTGCCAACTAACCGATGTTAAATAGCGCCGCGCAGCCGGTGGTCGGAAGTTTCAACAAATATAAGAAGTATGGTTCTGCCTTCTCATTATTCTTCTCTTGCTCCTTCTCTTTCTCTGTCTCCTTCTCATTATCCTTCTCTTGCTCCTTCTCTTTCTTTGTCTCTCCTTCTCATTATCCTTCTGTTTCTCTTTCTCTCCTTCATTGTGCTTTTCTTTCCCTCCTTCTCATTATCCTTGTCCTTCTCTTTCTCTTGTGTTCTTTCTCTCTTTCTCTCTTTCTTCTCTCTATGTCTCTCGCTCTCTCTTCCTCTTTCTCTTTCTGTTTCTCTGGCTCTTCCTGTTTCTCTTTTTCTCTCTGTCTCTCTCACTCTCTCTTTCTCCTTCCCTTTCTCTTTCTCCTTCCCTTTCTCTTTCTCCTTCCCTTTCTCCTCTCTCTCTCTTTCTCTCCCTCGTTCTCTTCTCTTTATCTTTCTCTTTTGTGTTTTTTTTTCTCTCTCTCTCTCTCTCTCTCTCTCTTCTCTTTCGCTTTCTCTTTCTCTGTTTCTCCTTCATGGATGTGTTCCCTTTGTCCCAAAAGCACCTGTTTGGACCAATTTCGGGCTTCCCTGAGGAGGGGAGCGATGTGCACCCGGGCATCCAGAAGCTGAAAGTGCGGATCCCAAGTCCTGCCGCAGCACCAGTTTTCAGAGTCGGAGCTGCGAAAATGGTTGAGGTTGGCGGCGAGAAATCCCCTATGATGTCCATTGGGGCGGACTAAGGTCCCCAAAAACATGGTCCAATGTTGGTGGTTCTTGGTGGTTTTTTCCAGATAGACAAGGGCTATGGGACTATGGGGGATTTTCAAGTTCGATGCAAGGAAGGACACGTAAAAGGTTGAAGCGAAGCGAATTCAATTTTGGACCCTCCGGCGTGATTGTCAAGTTGCGCCCAGTTTTGATTTGGGTTCGGTTTGTGTGTGCACTAGTTCCTTTGGACAAGTGAGACGTTTATGGTACTCGTTTAAAGCCGCGGTCATATATTCTCGCAGGGAGTGCGATCATAGCACAGCACGCACTCTCTGAGTTTTTGGGCGCTGCTCTATTGTTTTCCAAGATCGAATTGCAGCCTGGGGCGCCTTCTAGCATTGAAACGTGTAGTGAGGACGGGACGAGGACAAAGGTTCAATGCGCAGGATAAGAGAAGATCAGAACTGGTGACAGGAGCGATGCTGAAACAGAAGTCGTGTGGGAGCGTCCAAAGCGTCAAGCATATATGTGAGCTGTTGGTCATGATCCAAAATGTGTTCGAGCAAAGAAGTTCTAGTGTTGCGCCTCAGTTGGTGGTTTGGATTGGCAGGTGGCTTTCCCCTTCTGGTTCCAACAGTGTTGTTTTTCCCCACACCCAGCAACCCAACCACTGGCATACTCTTGATGGGTGGTTGTTGCCGGCCAAAGGCAGCGGCGTGTTCCTCACTCCCAGTCGACGACGGGCAGTTGTAATGTATCAAGCCAGGATTTGTGTGTTTAGGAAGATGCTTTCCAAAAAGAAGCACCTGAAATTCCTGATTTGGACACTGCCAAAGTGGGCTTGAACAATCACGAGTGGCAGCAAGCCTGCTGGAAACCCGAAGGCGGGACGCCGCCACTGTTCAGGATGAAGTCCTCTGTGGGGGGATTGTGGGGTTCGAACTTTGAACCGTCCAAAAGGGGGGCCATTCTCGGATAGGCCACTGACAGGGGGTAGGTTCCAGCCGAACTGCCCTGATTGCCCAATCCAAACTCGTTCGGCCCATTGGGTCCGCTTGGCACAGGTTCCAATGAGAATGCTGCGGAGGCTTCCCAGATTCCCTTTGATCCACACCGTCGCATTGGGGTTGTGGTCGTCTTTGGGCACCTGATTTTTGTCGCAAGGGTTGTTGGACCGGCCTTTGGCATTTTGGACGGGCGGCGTGTTTGCGGCAAGTCACCAACTTTTGGCGGGAACACCCCCCCGCGCCAATGTGGAAAGCGGGGTTCTGAGGCCAATTGCTGTGAGTGGCCAAGGGAGCCCTACAGGTATGCGATCCCCGAACAAAATGGGCACGGCCGCCTGAGAAACAGCTGCTTGGGTGATTCCACAACCATGGTGAGGATTCTTAATTCCCTCATACTAGCATTCTCACCAGAAGGCCTTTGTAGGAGGGACACGACCCCCAGCCAGGTTTGTGCCAAATTTTGTATCATGTGTACTCGCCTGTTGGTTTGGGGGCATCGGGGGTTAACCCCATTCTCCTCTTGTTTCCCTGTAATTTTTTTCGGAGCTCATGTGGTCGATCAGCCTGCGGCAAGGTCTCCTGTGTGGCCGGAGGCGACTCCTTATGGCTTGGTGAAGCACAAGGGGAGATCAGGCAAGCGAGGGGTCGAAGGGGGGCGGAGGTTCCAAACCTATGGGCGGGAGGATTTGGTTCGTCCAGAACAGAAGAAAGCAGCATCTTGGCACTTCATGTTTTTGTTTTTTGTTTTTTCTCCGATGGCTCGCAAGTGCCAGCGCGACTGCTTTTGCAGCGCGCTTGAAGTTGTGTTTCATCCGACAGCCCCTGAGTTCGGGAAAGCTCCGCCCGCCATAGCAACGCCCAAAGCGAGAATCCGAAGCGACACCCCCAAATCCATTCAAGTGGGCAGCTCAGCTTGCGTTTTTTGAGCTGGAGCTGCGAAAAGCGTACTTCGCGCAGGCTTGTACTACAAACTTCGAGTTTTGAGCTGGAGCTGCGGAAGTGCACTTCGCGCACAAGAAGTTGCGATTTCCGAGCTGGAGCTGCGATGCGTACTTCGTGTGGTAGACTCGCACTACAAGCTAGAATTGGCAAAATTGCAAAAGTTGAGAGACGCGAGCTGCCACTGTGTAGCGAGAGGGGGCCTGGAAGAGAGTATCCATGCCAGCCATGGCAGCCAGCCAGCCATGTATAACATGGTTTGACCGCTGCACGTATTGCGATCATCGGTTTAGTCAAGTATAAGTTGAGCATGATTGCAGCCGTGCCTATGGCTAGATTACTTGAGTGCGCGTCTAAGTGCTATATAGCTACATCCAGCTGCCACATGCAAAACTACTTGGGCCCCAAAATTGTAGCTTTCCTCTTGAACATATGCCAAACTGAACATTTCCTGGAACCTCCATCGTAGCATAAATTTCTGCCTCCCTCCTTGTTCGATACCAAAATTGACTCGACGTAGCACTTTCTGCCTCCCATTCGCTTCCGAGCGCGTTTTGACGATTCGGGCAGAAATCCCATTCGGCCGTGTTTTCTTCTTCCCCATGGTCAAGTTGCCGCCAAAACGGGCACACAAATGTGCAAGAAAAGTGCAAAACGAGCGCAAATCGGCGCAAAAAAGCGCAAACGAGCGCAAATTCAAAAAATGCTACGAATCGCAGGTAGCAAATTGCAGTTGCGCGGATGTCTCGAGCACTTTCTGTTAAAACGAGCTTTTTGTTGAGAAGAACGTGTCACGAGCAAAACATGTTCGTAGCAAAAATTACGGTAGCAATGGAGGCTCCAGGTTACCTCTCAGACTTCCGATTCACAAGGAGTATGTTGTCAGCGCACGTGTATTTCCTGGCCCGAAGCCATACGAATCCAGACCTGCGACGCCTGAGTGATGCAAACCAATCATGTGATGGCCCCAATGTGGATGAATCCCGTCTCACAAGCTTCGCTGTTGAACGCACATCAAATCTACAAATCGGAGCAAGGCTGTTGGTGTTTTGGGTATGTTCGCATCTTGCCTTGAACAAGCACTGGGGAAGTTCGTGTGATCCACACTTTGCCATATGCAAAACGCGTCGCTCATGTGCAAAAGGAGCTTCTATGCTTGGGTTTGGGCACCGCTTGGGTTTGGGCACTCGAATGAAATATATGTGCGTCCTGAACTCACTACAAACATGGACTGTTCAATTGTCCTGTGTCAAGCGCGGAATGCTATTTCCTCCTTTGGATACATTCGGACAAGTGACTCATTCACTCCACCCCGCGAGTTGCAATTGACTTTGAGCACAAGGCTTCCTTTCCCAGGGGGAAAAGCAGAGATATACAGATGTACCACCAGACCCCTGCACTGCAAAGTGCGAGAACTTGTATGACTGAAGTTAAATCACATCACATGTTATCACAACAATAGTATATCCATGCATGTGCTTCATGCGGGGCCTAGCTTTTTCTACTGCTGGCTCCTGTCAACTTCTGGCCGCATGCTCATCTCGATGTGAGTTGTTTGCAATTTATTGTTTTGGCGTTCATGAGTTTCAATGATTCAACAGGCACGTTTGCAGCAGCATGTGTAGTTTGATGATTCGCAGTCTCATTCTTTGTTTGGCACTTAGTGCTGGATGATAGAGGTAGTTGGTGGGTCTGTCCACCTGAAGGATCAACCAAAAAACCTTGAGGGGCCGCTCCCTTTTTTGCGGGTCACGTTTTCAATCCGAGACGCCAAACAAGTAAATGGTGGAACCTCCCCCCAAAACATGGGCGGTTTCTTTTTCGTTTCCCGAAGCCACGCCGGAAACCCTCGAACAGGCCACGCCCGTCAATAATTAGCCTTTCCTGTCTCCCTGTGCCTTGCGAGGCGTTTGGAGGAGACGCACTTGTCACCCCCTTGCAGGGCTTTCGAGCAAAAACTACTGGGACTCTGT